GGTCGCGGGAAACCTTAGGATAACGTAGAAATTCCAGCTTTAACACCCTCCCTGTGAACGCGTGTCTTGGCCCCAGTTTGCTTAGTTAAAGAGGTACGAACCTAAGGTAGCGCCCGCAAAATAGTCAGAATTAAAAGGGCAATCTAAAAACACACACACACACACACACACACACACACACACACACACAAAATTTATATCCTTTTCAGGTGACAAAAAGCAACTTTAACTTAACCTAAACCACATTACAATCGCTTATTTACTTTAGGTTCGTATTAGCTAGAAAAGACGGGACTAGCAATCATGTTCGTGGTTTTGCTAACATTGCCGTCTTACCATTATCGAATATTTATCCATCCATCTATCTATTCATCTTTCTATCTATCTAACCCTTCATCATACATCCATATCTACACCCTTTCTTCATCTGTTACTTTATCTATTTATCCATCTATAATTCTGTTTATCTTTCTCCCCTCTAACCTAACTCTAACCTAACCTTCTCGAGTATCACCTTAGAGCCACAGTAGTTCTTCAGCTGCCACTTGAGGGAGAGAGCTAATGTAAAAATCTAAAATAGACGCGAAGAGGTTAAAGGTGATGATCTATATGAGCAAACATCGTCTAATAGTCCACTAATACAGTTTCATTATATTTAATACCAAGAAACCACAGGGGCGGATCCAGGAATATCAAAAGTGGGTGGGGGGTCCAAGAGTTAGGGTGGGGGGTAGGGGACTCTGTAAGCCTCCCTCCCCCACTCACCCCCTATATTTTTTTTTTAATTTCATCAATATCATGGGAATGTTGAGGCGATTTTGTAGCCATGTGCACTTGATATTAGGAGATATTCTGAGGTCATTATTAATTACTTTTTACGAAAACGCCTGAGTACAATACTGCATTAAAGAGGTTTAGGAATTTTTAGATGAAAAGGGAGGTCCGAACCCTGGCCCCCTTGGATCTGCTCCTGACAAATTAGTCCCCATAAACTCTTATAATGCTGTTAACTAATCAATAAAATTCTTCAATATCACATTAAGTAAGGCTCAATCAATAAGCTTTAAGTAAGGTTCAATCAATAAGTTTTAAGGAAGGTTCAATCAATAAGCTTTAAGTAAGGTTCAATCAATAAGTCTTAAGTAAGGTTCAATCAATAAGTCTTAAGTAAGGTTCAATCAATTTGTTTGGATTCGCTTTCAACTGATTCACATCTAAAAATGTTTCACCGAAGAAAATGAAAATATTTTAGGGAAACCATAAATTTTAAACACACGTAACAACAGTTTCCACCACCTCAGGATTTATTGCCAAGTTTTCGTTAGTTGCCTACAGAAAAATACTTAATTTAATTTCTTCCATATTGCCTACAGTAAAAATCTGAATAAACTAAAAAAAATATATATATAAAAACTCGACGATAAATTCAGTATTAGATGAGATCGTTCACTTTGTCTTTACCTTTTAATAGCGTCATTAATTAAAACAACTCTTGAGAAAATGGAATATGTGTGGATTGAGATTGAATGAGGTAGAGAGTAGGTAAGAAGGATGGACACACACACACACACACACACACACACACACACACACACACACACACACACACACACACACACACACACACACACACACACACACACACTCCAGACGGGTGAAAACAGTGTGCAGAGGAGGGAGAAAAGCGGTGTTGTCCCGTGGGAAGAATCACCTTGAGTGGATCTCCATTTCAGAAGTGATTACTCTCATTATCGACGTCACTGTCAGGTAAAGAGGTGAGATATCTTTTACGTGTGTGTGTGTGTGTGTGTGTGTGTGTACATAGGTAAAGCAACCGCGTCTCCTATCACGGAATTGCAAAAAGCAACTAATCTTTTGACTGTACAGCTAAATTCTCACTGTTCTTACACACACATTCCCTCTTTGCGACTTACAATTACTCAGCAGCAACAACACTATACACGACCAGAAACGAAGACTTGAATGAACATAAAATAAAAAATAAATAGAGGATTTTTAAAAGAGCTACTGACACGTAATATTAAATCAAAGAAAACCAAGAGACTGAGACGGGAGACTCTAATATAAGCCGCTGAGGACGATACCAGCATCAATTCCGTACATCAACATAATGAGAAGCTAAAGATAACTAAACAAGAATACTTTAGTAAGTGACCTGAAGCGCTAGGTGAAGAATAGCTCATCAGGTAACGACAGGTACACAACGGTAGGTAAACAAGAGATAAGCCACACCACTCACCCACACCACTCATCCACACCACCACCCACACCACTCATCCACACCACTCATCCACACCACTCACACCCACCCCACCCACACCACCCACCCACACCACTCATCCACACCACCACCCACACCACCATCCACACCACTCACCCACACCACTCATCCACACCACTCCACCCACACCCACTCACCCACACCACTCACCCACACCACTCACCCACACCACTCATCCACACTACCTACCTAACATCTAAAATCAGCTTGGAAACTCCAGACACAAGATAAACTAGTGTTAGGTTAGGTTAGGTTAGGTTAGGTTAGGTTAGGTTAGGTTAATGAGGATAACTAAGACGAAGACAGACTGTGTTTAGGCATAACATGACACCAAACACTGACTCACAAAGTTATATAAAGTGGAATTATTAACAGTGGCATTAAGACATTATTAACTCACAAGACAAAATGTAAAATCACTTTCTGGTTATCGTTTAGCAAAGGAACAATAAAAGAAAACGACTATGTAAAAGAAAATGGGAATCACCACCTTATCGCCCCCCCAAATGAGGATGAATTTGTCTTAAGCAGAAAACATGTGACTGTACTAACCTCATATACTGATCGAGTGATATATAAACAATAGTAACTACGTCTCACTAGTAACTACGTCTCACTAGTAACTACGTCTCACTAGTAACTACGTCTCACTAGTAACTACGTCTCACTAGTAACTACGTCTCACTAGTATCTACGTCTCACTAGTAACTACGTCTCACTAGTAACACGTCTCACTAGTAACTACGTCCACTATTAACTACGTCTCACTAGTAACTACGTCTCACTAGTAACTACGTCTCACTAGTAACTACGTCTCACTAGTAACTACGTCTCACTAGTAACTACGTCTCACCAATAACTACGTCTCACTATTAACTACGTCTCACTAGTAACTACGTCTCACTATTAACTACGTCTCACTAGTAACTACTGTCTCACTATTAACTACGTCTCACTAGTAACTACGTCTCACTAGTAACTACGTCTCACTAGTAACTACGTCTCACTAGTAACTACGTCTCACTAGTAACTACGTCTCACTATTATCTACGTCCAATTGTAACTACGTCTCACTATTAACTACGTCTCACTAGTAACTACGTCCACTATTATCTACGTCTCACTAGTAACTACGTCTCACTATTAACTACGTCTCACTAGTAACTACGTCTCACTGTAACTACGTCTCACTAGTAACTACGTCTCACTAGTAACTAAGTCTCACTAGTAACTACGTCTCACTATTAACTACGTCTCACTAGTAACTACGTCTCACTAGTAACTACGTCTCACTATTAACTACGTCTCACTATTAACTACGTCTTACTAGTAACTACGTCTCACTTTAGTAACTACGTCTCACTATTATCTACGTCTCACTAGTAACTACGTCTCACTATTATCTACGTCTCACTAGTAACTACGTCTCACTAGTAACTACGTCTCACTAGTAACTACGTCTCACTATTAACTACGTCTCACTATAAGGTTTATTTCTGTATTCATGAGTAATATATCTTTATGCTGATGATACGAGTCAACCAAGATGTCGTTTTATTAAATATAATAAACTTTTCTTAAGATTTACTCACTCGCAGCGGAACTAATTTGGACGAAGAAAAGAAATCAGGGGAGGAGGGAGGTGGAGGAGGAGGGGGAAGACGAGGAGAGGGAGAGAAGAGGAGGGTACGGGAGGAGGGGGTAAAGGAAGGAGCGGGAACAGTGAGTGGGGGGGGGGGGATGAGAAGGAGGAAAGAGAGATATGAATCAAATCCGTCATCCGAAAAATCATCTTTTGTCCCAGTCTGAAACCGAGGCACCGAGATCGCTAACACCAAAACCCAAGAAAAATACCCAGACATCTCCTAAACTTTCCTCGGGAGTCATAAAAACCCAACCCCACTGCAACAAAGGCAAAAATATGACTAAATGTATAATGGGTGTTGCTTCAGTTTCTACCCAAAGGAAGTGCACCGGGCAACAGGCATTTATAAAGGAACTCTATTGTCGGGTCCCAGCGAGGGTGAGGTGGTTCCAGGGCTCGAGGAAGGTGGTAGTAGGTCCTGGAGGATTAAGATGACTAGTAGGGAAGGACGAGGAACGTAGACGATCCATCAGAAGTAATGGGGATTAGGAGGGAGGTTGATGATCGTTCCTACAAGTGATGGTTCCTATCAGACGCCGATGATCATCTCCAGCTCTGTGGTAGGGGGGGGTTGAGGGGGGGGTGAGGGGAAGGGAGGTGATGGGGTGGGGAGGTGAGGGTGAGGGACAGGGAGGTGAGGGGCAGGGAGGAGGGGACTGGGAGGTGATGGGGTGAGGTGAGGGGTGAGGGACAGGGAGGTGATGGGGGTGGGGAGGTGAGGGGCAGGAGGAGGAGGCAGGGGAGGAGGAGGGGAGATGGCGTCCTTAGGGTTTTGGGATTTTCTTTGCCTAAAACCTAAATTGATTATAAAAAAAGAAAATACACAGATGTAAAATTGCTTCGCGTATGTTTTTCATTTTCCCTTTAGCTGCCGCCATCTTCTAATTAGTGCATCTTTCTTGTTTGTTGGACCTTGACTTCTGCTTCTAATTTGCCTTCTTTCTTCGCCACACAACTTCCTCCTCCTCCTCGCCAATTAGTGTGGCTGTTCCTTCACACACCCTCACCTCTCTCATTAAACACTTTACAACATTGATACTCCTTTGTACCCAGACAGACAGCTCCTCCATGTCCCCAGCAACAGCACCCCTCTGTGTCCCCAGCAACAGCACCCCTCTTGTCCCCAGCAACAGCACCCTCTGTGTCCCCAGCAACAGCACCCCCTGTTCCCCAGCAACAGCACCCCCTGTGTCCCCAGCAACACTCTACGTCCCGCAGCACCCTTTGTGTCCCCAGCAGCACCCCCTCTGTGTCCCCAGCAACAGCACCCTCTGTGTCCCCAGCAACAGCAGCACCCCTACGTCCCCAGCAACAGCACCGTCCCCAGCAACAGCACCTCTGTGTCCCCAGCAACAGCAGCACCCCTCTACGTCCCCAGCAACAGCACCCTCTGTGTCCCCAGCAACAGCACCCCTCTGTGTCCCCAGCAACAGCAGCACCCTCTGTGTCCTCAGAACAGCACCCTCTGTGTCCCCAGCAACAGCACCCCCATGTCCCCAGCAACAGCACCCCACTGCCCCCCCCCAGGCTGTGGTACCGTCACACATCACCCGTTATCCATAAAAAATTATCCACAGAGAAGATTAATGGCTTTAAAGTGTCCTCCACGTGATAACTGAATTAGGTGAAATACTTACAAATTCAGTATTGATGGAGGTGTTTCCTGTCTGGTGTATATGTCTCGTGGTGTGGGTGGTGAGGGGCCTGTGATACACTATGTGGGTGGTGAGGTGTCTGTCACACACTATGTGGGTGGTGAGGCCCATCACACACTATGTGGGTGATGAGGGCCTGTCATACACTATGTGGGTGGTGAGGTGTCTGTCATACCTATGTGGGTATTAGGGGCCTGTCATACACTATGTGGGTGGTGAGGTGTCTGTCATACACTATGTGGGTGATGAGGGGCCTGTCATACACTATGTGGGTGATGAGGGTCATACACTATGTGGGTGATGAGGTCTGTCATACACTATGTGGGTGGTGAGGGCCTGTCATACACTGTGGGTGGTGAGGTGTCTGTCATACACCTTGTGGGTGGTGAGGGGCCTGGCATACACTATGTGGGTGGTGAGGGGCCTGTCATACACTATGTGGGTGGTGAGGGGCCTGTCATACACTATGTGGGTAGACCCTCACGTATATCCCAACAATACAAAGAAGACTCATCGATGGAAGTCTGTTCTTAAAGCCATCACGTGATCCTGTTGGTCGTGGAAGTCGAACTGTGTGGACTCCTACGACATACATCTACTCAACTACGACATAATTTAGACACCATAAACTACGTACCCTACTGACAGAGTTTAACAAATATGTGTTCTTTTTTTTTTTTAAGCGTGTAATGTTATCGTATGCAATGCTATAGTAGGGAGACCTCATACCGAGAGTACTGAACTGCATGGCATTATTTAGCTCAAGTTTCTAGGGTTATACGATGCGAGTGTTTCCGCTGCTAATGGAAATGGGTTGTGGTTTATCATCAGACACATGAATAAATCTAAACCAAACTGTGGGGGGTAAATTATTCCTCCTCAAAAATTTGTTCTTTATTATTATAGGTTTCTGTTGATAGGTAGCTGGGAGTCCTATACCACCTACACTTATAAAACTTACATCTACGCCTCCACTACCTATACTTAAACTTACACCTCCTCCCCTTACACCTACACCTCCACTTATACTTAATTAGATACGTTCAGAGGGAAATTTAGAGTAGTTAAGTTTATCATCAATTACTAACATAACTATAATGACAAACACTACATAGAAGGCAAAGTAGAAAATACTTTAACAATATTCAGAGTGAAATATTCGTGATGGTATTTCTATTCTCATTCTCTAATCATCTTCCTAGAGAAAAAAAAAGTAGGAATTGTCAAGAAATTAAAGAGTTACGTCCTTTTTGTCGACCAGTTTCGCTAGCTGAATAGATGTGATGTGATGTGATGTGATGTGATGATGTGATGTGATGTGATGTGATGTGATGTGATGATGCGATGCGATGTGATGTGATGTGATGTGATGTGATGTGATGATGTGATGTGATGTGATGTGATGTGATGTGATGATGTGATGTGATGGATGTGATGTGATGTGATGTGAAACAGTCTTATTTATCCCTAGAAATGACAGTGTATAAACTGACGAAAGCGTGTAAGCTATTCACACTGTCAGTTCATAGTCGTCCTCTCTCTCTCGTCTGACGCATTACCATAACAAAGTCGACCGTACCCAACTTGTCCTCGAGATCTGATGCCTTCACTGACTCCTGATACAGACATGATGCGCTCTCCTCACGCACACACACACACACACACACACACACACACACACCCACACTCAATGAAAGCTCCCTATCCCCACCATCCCACACCACAACCTCCTACCCACACAATCCGAAGTGGAGGTGAGGGCGTAGTGGAGTCCGTAGCCATCACATCACTATCCTAACCTAACCAAACCAAACCCAACCAAACCTAACCTAACCAAACCCAACCAACCTAACCAAACCAAATCTAACCAAATCTAACCAAACCAAATCTAACCAAACCCAACTCTAACCAAATCTAACCTAACCTAACCTAACCCAACCAAATCTAACCTAACCTAACCCGTTTCACAATACAGGAGAAAGGTCAATACGTCTCTCCCCATCTTACATCCCAACGTAAAGATTATAACTATGTCTAAAATAAAATAAAATAAAATAAATAAACAAGAAAATAAATAAAAATAGCAATAAATCACATGAAAAAGTATAAGAAATAATGTATAATTCGTTTAAAAATAATATGATACAAATATTTCGAAGCATAAAAAAAAAAAAAAAAAAAAAAAACAAGGAAGTTATTTTATGGTCACTTGGGAATTAAGAAACTTTATGACAAGACTTTTCTCTATATAGACACCTTCTTCTTTTTCTTCCTCTGTTGTGTGTGTGTGTGTGTGTGTTTTACCTCCGCTATCATCGCACACGACCTATATCCCAGTAATTACAACCACAAAAACAAACAACAAAAACAACAACAACAACATCAACAACAACAACAATTACAACCACAGCAAAAACAAGAACAACACGAACAACAACAACAACAACAACAACAACAATTACAACCACAGCAAAACAACAACAACCACAACAGTAGTCTTCAGCCAACAAACTGTAATGACTCACACTGTAATTGGTCAATACTGTGGCTCATCCATATTCCAATAAAAATTATCTACCAAATTTTTATCACTGTAACTTGAGAGTAATTAAGGGTAATTTGCATATGAAGGTAATTACGAGACACTAATGAGTCTCTTCTTTATTTCATGGATTTATATAAGATCATTTGGCTTATTTATATATATTAGTTATAGGTTTATTGGGTATAATAACACTTCCTTATAAGTAGGATTAATATCACGAAATAACCCTCATTACAATTATTAATAACAGCAATTATTTCTTATCGCTATGACCTTTATCATTAGGTTTGTAATTTACTCTATGCTTGTTGTTATTCTTATCATCATCATCATCATCATCATCATCATCATCATCACCATCATCATCATATCATCATCATCATCAATCATCATCATCATCATCATCATCGTCACCATCATCGTCACCATCATCATCATCATCATCATCATCATCATCGTCATCATCATCATCATCACCATCATCATCATCATCATCATCATCATCACCACAAAAGAAAATGAGGAGAAATATTCTACACCAAGTGAGAAAGATGTGAAGGTCTTTATCACTGAGAAAAGTTGAGAAATTGAAGGAAATGACTCGGGTTAACTTGATATTAGTCTCTGTCTGTCTCTCAGTCTGTTTCTCAGTCTGTTTCTCAGCCTCTCTTTGTCTCTCTCAGTTTCTCTTTGCATTTGTCTCTTAGTCTATGTCTCTTATTATGTCTCAATTTTTTTATGTCTCTCTCTGTAAGTGAAAATTGTAGAGAAAAAAAAAGGAATAAAGACAAGACACACAAAAGAGGAAGAAGGACAAGAAGAAAGAGGGAAGAAAACAGGAGAATAGAGAAAAAGAGAATAACTGGGAAGAAAGAGATGAACAGGGAATAAAACAGAAAACAAAATAAACAGGAAAATAGGGAAAGAAACAATAAAAAACACACACTCAGGATACACTCAGGACACACTTAAAGTATACAGGATACACTTAGAACACTCAGGATACACTCAGGACACACTTAAAGTACACAGGATACACTTAGAACACTCAGGATACTCTCAAGACACACTAACTAACTTGCCTAACTAATCTATTAACATTCTTTTCATCAGTTTTCGAATCGGTGGACGAGGGGCACAATTATGATGTGGTATATCTCGACTTTAGCAAAGCCTTCGACAGAGTCCCACACGAAAGACTAATTAGAAAGGTAGAAGCACATGGCATCAAAGGTAATATCCTTAAATGGATTAGGCGTGGTTAAGGACAGGAAACAGCGAGTGAGCATTAACGGCACTAAGTCCCATTGAGCAACGTCACAAGTGGAGTTCCCCAGGCTCAGTACTTGACCATTATTATTTATTATATACATAAACGACATAGATATCGGCATTGACAGCAACATAAGTAATTTGCTGGTGACATAAAATAGGACGTGTTATCAAATCTGACGAGGACTCGGCAAACCAGGAAGATCTAAACAAATTTTTCGAATGGTATGAAAAATGGCAGATGAAATTCAACGTCGACAAATGTAAAGTACTCAGTATAGGAGTTGTAAACAGGGAAACCAGATACCAGATGAATAACGATGCCATAGAGAACTCGACTGCGAGAGATTTAGGAGTAATGATAAGTAGGAACCTTAAGCCAAGTAAACAATGTGTTTTTGCTCGTAACAAGGCTAATAAAGTACTTGGGTTCATACAAAGGAGTGTTAGTTACAAGACTAGGAGGTCACCTAAAACTGTATCTTGCTCTTGTGAGACCACACCTGGATTACGCAGTTCAGTTCTGGTCACCGTATTACAGAATGGATATAGAATCCTGGAAAGAATTCAGAGAGAATGACAAGACTAATCCCGGGCATTAGAACCTTGAGTATAGAGACAGGTTAAAGCATCTTAATTTGCACTCCTTGAGAGACGTAGAGCGAGGGCGACCTGATAGAGGTGTATAAGTGGAAGGCAGGGCTAAACAAAGGACATTACAAAGGTACTCAAACTATCCAACCAGGAGCGAACTCGTAACAATGGTTTTAAATTAGACAAATTTAGATTTAGGCGTGATATAGGTAAACACTGGTTTAAACAGTAGTGGATGAATGGAACAAGTTACCAAATATCATCATTAACTCGAATACGCTGAATAGCTTAAACATAGGTTGGATGCTTATATGAGCAATAGGGTTGGGTGTAAACGGACTGCCCAGTATGGACTAATAGGCCCGCTGCAGTTTCCTCCATTCTTATGTTCTTATGTTCTTATGTTAAAGTACACAGGATACACTTAAACACTCAGGATACACTTAGGATAATACTCAGAACAACACTCAGGATACACTCAGAATACACTCAGGACAACACCAAGATAATACCAGAACAACACTCAGGATACACTCAGAGAACACTCAGGATACACGAAAACACACTTAAAGTACACAGGATTCACTTTGAACACTCAGGATAACACTCAAGATAATACCCAGAACAACACTCAGGATACAATCAGAGAACACTCAGGATACACTCAGAGCACACAGGATACACTAAGAACACTCAGGGTACACTTAGGATACACTCAAGACACACTCAGGGTAGGCGGGTGTGTCGGGCGGGGGTAGGTGAGTGATGGCAAGGTGTCAGCTGAGGTGGTCCAGGTGCGTCAGGTATTGACTGGCCGATAAATAGTGACAGATGTTGGAGGTTCCTGCACCAGCTGCCTCTACCGTCTCAGCATTGGGGAGGAGGGAAGGAGAGAAGGAGGGAAGGTGGGGGGAGGAAGGTAGGGAGGAAGGGCGAAGGAAAGAGGGAGGGAGGGAGGGAGGGAGGGGAGGAAGGAGGAAGGAGAGAAAAATGAGGAAGATGGAGGAAGGTGGGGAAGGAGGAAGGAAGGTGGGGAGGAAAGGAAGGAGGGAGGGACGGAGATAAGAGAGAAAGAAGGGCGTGAGAGGCAAGGGGTAATAGAGAAACAGAAGGAGGAAGGAAATAGGAAAGAAAGGAAAAAGGTAGAATCCTCACTCTCTAGCAATTCCTCTAATCCTCAATCCACCACTCAACCGTCATATCACCATCACTCCTACCATCACTCACCACTATCGCTCATCACCATCGCTATCACCATCACTCCACCACCCTCATCACCATCCTCATCACCATCCACCATCCTCCTCCTCACTCCACCACCCTCACCACCCTCATCACCATCACTCATCACCATCCTCATCACCACCCTCCCCATCCTCACCATCACTCACCACTCTCATACCACCCTCATCACCATCACTCCACCACCACCACTCTACAATCACTCATCACCCATCCTCCACTCATCACCATCCTCACCACCTCATCTCATCCTCATCACCACTCTACCATCCCTCCTGCACTCACCTACTCATCACCTCCTCCATCACCTCCCACCACCCTCACCATCCCTCCCCACCATCCTCTCTCCTCCTCACCCCTCACCACCATCACTCCCTACATCCTCCCACCATCACTCCTACCATCACTCCACCACCTCATCACCATCCTCCTCCACCACCTCACCACCATCTCCCACCATCACTCCACCACCCTCATCACCATCACTCATCACCATCCTCCCTCTCCTCACCCACCACCACCACTCCTCCACCACCCTCCTCCACCATCACTCCACCACCACCACTCCACCATCACTCCCTCATCACCATCCTCACCACCACCCTCACCCCTCCTACCCCAGCAAGGCTCAGAGACTCAGAACTGGGTCAGCTACTTAAATATTTTCTCAGCCAAACACTTTCCTGCGACATGAGCTTGGTATTACGCCAGGCTGAGCTGAGACGCTGTGATGGTGAGGACGCCTGTGATGGTGAGGACGCTGTGATGATGATGGCGCTGTGATGGTGAGGCGCTGATGGTGAGATGCTGATGGTGAGATGGTGAGGACCTTGTGGTGAGACTGTGATGGTGGGACATGATGGTGAGGACGCTGTGATGGTGGGAGCACTGTGATGGTGAGGACATGTGAGGACGCTGTGATGGGTGAGACGCTGTGATGGTGAGACCATGGTGGTGAGGACGCTGTGATGGTGATGGCGCTGTGATGGTGAAGTGCTGTGATGGGACCTGTGGTGGTGAGGACTGTGATGGTGAGGACGCTGTGATGGTGAGGACCTTGATGAGGCGCTGTGATGGTGAAGATGCTGTGATGGTGAGACGCTGTGATGGTGAGGGACGCTGTGGGTGGGGCATGTGTGATGATGGCGCTGTGATGGTGAGGGCCTGTGGTGGTGAAGATGCTGTGATGGTGGGGACGCTGTGATGATGAGGGCGCTGGTGGGTGAAGATGCTGGTGTGGGGACTGTGATGATGATGGCGCGTGATGGTGAGGATGTTGTGATGATGAGGACGCTGTGATGATGATGGCGCTGTGATGGTGAAGATGCTGTGATGGTGAGGACGTGTGTGATGATGATGGCTGTGATGGTGGGGACGCTGTGATGGTGAGGACGCTGTGATGGTGGAGGACGTGATGGTGAAGATGCTGTGATGATGAGGACGCTGTGATGGTTAGGGACGCTGTGATGGTGTGGGACGCTGTGATGGGTGAGGACGCTGTGATGGTTGAGGACGCTGTGATGGTGAGGACGCTGTGATGGTGAGAACGCTGTGATGGTGGGGACGCTGTGATGGTGAGGACGCTGTGATGGTGAGAACGCTGTGATGGTGAAGATGCTGTGATGGTGAAGATGCTGTGATGGGGTGAGGACGCTGTGGTGATGGCGCTGTGATGGTGAAGATGCTGTGATGGTGGGACGCTGTGATGGTGGGGACGCTGTGATGGTTAGAGATGCTGTGATGATGAGGACGCTGTGATGGTGAGGACGCTGTGATGGTGAGGACGCTGTGATGGTGAGACGCTGTGATGGTGAGGACGCTGTGATGGTGAGGACGCTGTGATGGTGAGAGAACGCTGTGATGGTGAAGATGCTGTGATGGTGAAGATGCTGTGATGGTGGAGGACGCTGTGATGGTGAGGCGCTGTGATGGTGAGGATGCTGTGATGGTGAGGACGCTGTGATGGTGAGAACGCTGTGATGGTGAAGACGCTGTGAGTGGTGAGGGCTGTGATGGTGAGGACGCTGTGATGATGATGGCGCTGTGATGGGATGTTGTGATGATGAGGATGCTGTAAAAATGCTGTAGGATGCGTGTGAAGTACTCATTTCACCTCGTATATCTCTAACTGGTCCAGGCTGAGAATAATAGGAAGTTTGGTTACTTTTGTTTTGTGGGGGGGGTCAAATGTGTGTGTGTGTGTGTGTGTGTGTGTGTGTGTGTGTGTGTGTGTGTGTGTGTGTGTGTCTGCTACTAATATACAAGTTATGTAACTATTTGTGAATTAAAAAAAATAATAATAACGTTTACATTATTATATACGGCTGGGTAGTGGCTCCTCCCGTCTGACAAACACATCATGAATGTAACAACGATACAATATTTCATTTTTTTTGTCATAGTAAACCGTGTATATGACAAATTACCCTAAATATTTTGTTGATAACAAGCGTGGTGGGATGAAGAGGGGATATACAATGTGGTGTCCAGAAAAATGCTCCTGCCTCCTCCCTGCTCCCTGCCTCCTCTGCTTCCTCCTCCTGCCTCCTTCCCTCCCTCCAACTCTCAGTGTGTCAGGGAGCAAGCAGGGCAGGAGGCAGCAGGAGAGGCAGGCAGGGAGGGAGGCAGAGAGGGAGGGAGGCAGGCAGGAAGGGAGGCAAAGAGGGAGAGAGGCACGGAGGTAGGGAGGCAGGCAGGCAGGGAGACAGGGAGGGAGGCAGGCAGGGAGGGAGGGAGGTAGGGAGGGAGGGAGGAGGGAGGGAGGAGGCCCAGGCAGGGAGGGAGAGGGAGGGAGGGAGGGAGACAGGCAGGCAGGCAGGCAGGCAGGGGAGGGAGGGAGGAGGGGAGGCAGGCAGGCAGGGGAGGCAGGCAGGGGAGGGAGAGGGAGGGAGGGAGGGAGGGGAGAGCCAAGCAGGCAGGCAGGCAGGCAGGGGAGGGAGGGAGGAGGCAGGCAGGGGAGGGAGGCAGGCAGGCAGGCAGGGAGGGAGGCAGGCAGGGAGGGAGAGAGGCAAGGACATATTACTAGGACACCCTATAGAGCACAGCTGTCATATAGGCCGTATAATTAATAGGATATAGGGTTATAGTCTCCCAGGTGTTGAGTTTAATTAACACACCTTATATTAACAGGTATCAAAGGGCCGCAGTTATGACTTTACCTGAACACTGAAATTCTGGGTCACTCGAGGCAGTCCTATTTACTCAGGGATATTTGTAACCTTATTTCAATCCTTAATTAGGTTATGTTGGGGGTCTAACATGACTGGGGTCTAATAGAGCTGGGGCCTAATAAGACTGAGGCTTAATAGTACTGGGGTCTAATAGAACTGGGGTCTAATAGGACTGGGGCCTATTGGGACTGGGGTCCGGTCTACCTCCACCATGAGAGCAATAAATAAGATACAGCACTCTGATTCATAAACCATCAATATACAAGGAATTAACATGATCGGCACTGCACTCTAACACCTTTCACGTCCTTAACTGCAAAGGTAGGTGCAGTACCCACAGTTGCCGGACTTGGGACTCGAACCGATCGATGGTGGTTCAGCAGACGAGTGTGGTATCAGCTCAGCCTATTTTATTTTTTTATTTCAATACACATGGGCTTAAAAATCACACTAAAATTAAAAAAAAATTAATTCGAGTTTTGGTTATTTTATATCGATTATTTTACGATTTTATTCATATTATGAGTAAGTATTAACGTATGTAGTTAGTGAATTAAAATCATATTTTTATTTACGCGTTAAATTGTACAAAAGTGTTTTTTTCTATATTACTGTAATTAGGTAACAAGGTCAGCACCCCTCCCAATAACGGAAAGATCCCTCCCAATAACGGAAACAACCCTCCCAATAACGGAAACAACCCTCCCAATAACGCCAAAACTCCTCCCTATAACGGAAACACCCCTCCCAATAGCGTCAACACTCCTCCCAAAAGTAGAAACAACCCCTCCCAATAATGGAAACACCCCTCTCAATAACGCCAACTTTCCTCCCAATAGCGGAAACAACCCCTCCCAATAATGGAAACCCCCTCCCAATAACGGAACTCCCTCCCAATAACGGAAACACACCTCCTAATAACGGAAACCCACCTCCCAATAACGGAAACACTCCTCCCAATAACGGAAGCATCCCTCCCAATAACGGAAAATTTACACAACCACAAATATTCCTGGTAAACTATTGATATATTAGATGGGATATTTACTCATGCAAGAATAAATAATACGAACAATTTTATTTTCCATCAGATTAAATTATTTTGAAGTAGGAACATATCTCTGACAGTGTCTTAATTTTCAGCAATTTATTCGACTTCCTGTTAATATCTTCTACAACTCTCATTAAACTGTCTGTCTGTCTGTCTGTCTGTCTGTCTGCGTGTGTCTGTCTGTCTGTCTGTCTGTCTGTCTGCGTGTGTGTGTCTGTCTGTCTGTCTGTCTGCGTGTGTCTGTCTGTCTGTCTGTCTGCATGTGTGTCTGTCTGTCTGTCTGTCTGTCAGTCTGTCTGTCTGTCTGTCTGTCTGTCTGCGTGTGTCTGTCTGTCTGCGTGTGTCTGTCTGTCCATCCACCCATCACATACTGTATTTGTCCTTGTTTATTTGTTTGTTTGTTTATTTGTGGTTATTCCAGGTGCTCTCTGCCTTGTGGTCTTGTTGGTTGAGTGGGTCCTTTATATTGGGACGGTCTTAATTGTTCTCCTGGTCATTTGCAACCTTTTGTCTGGAGTCTGTTGGTCATGTGGTGTTTTCTTAGGATCTACTAAAGCGAGGAAATAATAATAATAATAATAATAATAATTAACGGTTTATTGAAAAAGTTCTGCAGCCCGAAGGCTGAAAATATACATTGGACATAAATGACTTATTACATACATTGGTGGTTTAACAAAAGCCTTCATTAGAGAAAGGTGAAGGAACATACAGTGAACATACAGATTAATGTAGGTGTTGAACAGCAAACACGTAGTGTAGTAACTCCCTGCCAGATGGTGTTAGGAGGGACCTCACGTGGTGTAGTAGTTCCCTCACAGATGGTGTTATGAGGGGCCTCACGTGGTGTAGTAATTCCCTCACAGATGGTGTTATGCAGGGCCTCACGTGGTGTAGTAATTCCCTCCCTCACACAGATGGTGTTATGAGGGCCTAACGTGGTGTAGTAATTCCCTCACAGATGGTGTTATGAGGGCCTCACGTGTGTAGTAATTCCCTCACAGATGGTGTTATGAGGGCCTCACGTGGTGTAGTAATTCCCTCACAGATGGTGTTATGAGGGGGCCTCACGTGGTGTAGTAATTCCCTCACAGATGGTGTTATGAGGGGCCTCACGTGGTGTAGTAGTTCCCTCACAGACGGTGTTATGAGGGGCCTCACGTGGTGTAGTAGTTCCCTCACAGACGGTGTTATGAGGGGCCTCACGTGGTGTAGTAGTTCCCTCACAGACGGTGTTCTATGAGTGAGGTGTGGTCCCAGGCCTTCCTATCATAGACGGATTAACACATCACTGGTTGTTGGGTCGGGCCGTTATCACTGGGTACCTGGGACCTCACTGTGTGAAGGTCAACTTGGGTACCACTGTTACTGTTGAGTTGTTCTCACTGACTTAAGCACTGTTCACCACTGTTCACCTCTGTTTAACACTGGTTCCATTCCTTTCCTAAATGAAATAGTAACTTCTGGCGTGAACTTGTTGATATTCCGGTGGGGAGGAGGGTTCAGGGGAGGGAGTTGGTATGGGCCAACTTAACAGTTGACCTGGCTGCTCCGAGAGGAGCGCCAGGTACGTCTTGACCCTTCGGTGGTCAAGGATGAAGTGTGTGTGTGTGTGTGTGTGTGTGTGTGTGTATGTGTATGCGCGTGTGGTGTCAATCGTTTAACTCTCTATAGACTTGTTTGATCTGTCATAAGTACCAGATCAGCTAATTAGTACCATCACATACAATCAAAATAAACAATAACAAACAATAGAATATAACAAAAACAAAACAAAACAGGTAAACAAGAAAACCACCGTCGCCTCTCTCCTTATTCTTTCAGTGTCAGAAAACGTCCCACACAATTTTTATTTTATTTTTCTCAACGACGCCAACCTGTCGTGTTTGAAACCAGGACTGTGAGTGGTACAGAAGAGGCATGTAGGATAGTTCTTAGTATATAGAGTGTTATTAAGGGTGTGTGTGTGTGTGTGTGTGTGTGTGTGTGTGTGTGTGTCCGTCAGCTTGTTGTAATGAATTGTGAATAGCTGGTTGGCTGTGGAGGGGAATTGGGGTAAGAGGTGAGGGAGGGAGGGAGGGTGAGTGAGGTCATAAGAGGTGGTCGACCAGGTATTGGGAGGTCATAATCCTACAGGTATGATACTAATGAGGGGAAGTTAATGAATTATCGACGGTACTAGACCCAAGTACTGTACTATCAACCCTTCTACTTTCCTGACGATGATGGTTGATAGTTACGTTTCATCTACTTGTCGACCTCTCGTGACCCTGACTGTCCTACTTTTACCCGTCCCTCCGCCCCTCTCTCACTCCTTCCCTCCCTCTCTCACAGCCTTTCAACGACGTAGCAACTCCATTGTCCTCCACCTTACCCCCTACCCCATATTCCCTTTACGTCCGCCCTCTGTGCATCTGGCAATATATATATATACCTTTCCGGTCAGTTCCCCAAGGCTCACCCCACGCCCCAATAACACCGAGGTGCTGTAACAATAAACCAACAAGTTCCGCACTCACTACACCTCTGGCTGAGTGGTTACCAAGCTTTTTATTTATGAGGCAGTACATCATTTGTCGACCTACAACACCCGTACACTGTGTTTAATACCTCCTCTTACGCTCTGTGTATTGTACGTAATGCGTGGTTGGATTGTGGTAGTTAGTGGTGGTAGTGGTTTGTGGTGGTTAGGAGTATTAGTTGTAGTTAGTTGTGGTAGCTAGTGGTGATAGTGGTAGTAGTTGTTAGGAGTATTAGTTGTAGTTATTGGTGGTAGTATTTGTTGTAATAGTAGTGGTTAGTAATATAGTAACAGTAGTAATAGTAGAAGTAGCAGTAGTAGTTAGTATTAGTAGTTAATAGCAGCTAATAGTAATACTAACCAAGC